CAGTTGTTCCTATCAAATTGTGAAATGAAAATTGTACTGAACATCCACTCGCCTACATCCTTTCATACTAACGTGAGTGTCCCCCAGGGCGCCATCCTTGGCCTTACGCTGTTTTTAATCTTCATTAACGATCTTCCCGATGACAACAGCTCTCAACTTGGCATCTACGCTGACGACACTACCATTTAATCCCGCCTCGATAGTAAGGCTGATCAGTGAGACAAGGTTAAAATGGCAGCTGGTGTACAAAACGACCTCAACTGAGGTAAAAGATGGCCTGTCAATTTTAACGCTTCCAAAACTATTAATCATCTGAGAGACCCCCACTGCCTTCAATCAGCATCGCTGATGGTATCCTCCATGAAAGAGACTAGTTGCACCTTCTTGTGCACTCACATAAATACAGTAGTAAATGCTGTATGTTGGCCTGCAGTTGGAGATTCGTCCCCAGCTGTGCTGGTCAAACTCTCAGCCTCTGGGCAGAGAGGATCCCCAGACGAGGCTATATCGAAGGGCAGAGTCTCGACTCGGAAACATATACCCGACCCCGTTTTATCCGGGGTCTACGGGGAAATTTTTGCCCGAACCTACGGGTTCGGATGCCCCACATTAAATTCGACCTTGTGTCACATCTGACCGCGGTTGGTAGATATCCTGCAGTTGAAGATTCATTGAGGAATTCATTTGACTCACCTCTAGCAGTTGACTACTTCTACGCGCCGCTGGCGAATCTTATATGTGTTGTTCTTGTCTTAAGTGTTATCGTTTATTACCAACCTTCGTGTGATTATTCTATTCAGTAACCTTCCCTCGGTAACAAGATATAGTTTTTGAGAAATTTTGTCAGTTCCGTTTGCCATTTACACAAAACGGTAACGAATTTTGTGAGAACAAATAAGAACGCTGACAATAGAGCTTAGCCCTCATGATTAATTCAAATCCGAACATGACCTATAATATCAGTGTAGATAAGATAAAATCGCGTGAATGGGGGGTCACATATTTGACAGGTCGAAATAAATGTACGAGAATAAAAGAATGTGAAAAATGAGAACCTTGGAAAACATTTTCAGTGATTTAGAACACCAGGCCTGATTTTTGTAGAGATAGCTTTTAAGAAGATTCGACCAGTCAATGATAACATCGTACCATCTTGTCCACCGCCACCAGAATCTGATGAACCACCTTGCGACTGATGTTTTTTTAAGCGTTGAAGCTCACACGTACTGTTGTCACATGTGCATCTGTAACTGCTCGGTTGCCCTCCTTCTCAAGGACTTTTGGAAACAAGGACACACTCATTCAGCCGGTTTCGTTCTCATTCTTTCTTATACTCTCTAGACCCTACACATACAGACACATGCAGAGAGAGAGAGAGAGAGAGAGAGAAAGAATAGAGAGAGAGAGAGAGAGAATAGGGAGACAGAGCGAGAGAGAGAGATAGGGGAGACCTTTCGCTCGCAAATCAACCTCGCCCCGGTAGATTCGTTTCCTTACACTTCAAAAACTGAAGCAGTGTTTTCCTCAATCTTGAAATTGTCATTTTGGGAGTTCGCGTCTGACGTAAGTGACCGGTTTCATCTTTGCAATTAAAATCTTTGACAAATAACAACGTAACCCTCAAAGAGTGTAATAATAATAATAATAATAATAATAATAATAATAATAATAATAATAATTACAAAGAGAATAATAAATTCTTAAAAGAATTCAACATCGTTGTCAGTAAATAGATAAAAATACAAAAAAAATGAAGTTAAAATTATTAAAAAGGCAATCTCAGAAGCAAGAGTTAAGCAGCCGTAAAAATCGTAATTGCACTTTTTAAAATAATTGTAAAATACTTTAAAATACGTAAATACTAGAAATTCTTAAATACTTAAAATACTTGCCAAATACTTAAATAATGCTTAAAATATTTAAATAAAATTCACTTAATAAATAATGCACTTAAAATAAGAAATAAATTTAAATAAAATAAGAATTAAATAAAGGTTAAAATATTTCAAAAATACTTCTTCCGGTTTCTTGCTTCACTTCCGCTTACGATCTTCAAAGATTTAAACGTAACCGTGTCTTCCTGTTTTATTGTCCTTTCTCTTCACTAAAGTTTTCTCATTCTCTTCCACTCCCAGTAACCACTTGCGTTGTCGTGGTATTAACTCCTTATTGGGATTAAATGATTTTAAAAAATGCTAAAAATACTTTAAAATAATTAAAAAATTAAATCTTACTTGCTTTTGTCATCTCCTTTCCAATGTTACCACAATCCTGCCCAAATTTACAGTTTTAGAAAAAATAATTATATATATATATATATATATATATATATATATATATATATATATATATATATATGTGTGTGTGTGTGTGTGTGTGTGTGTTGTTAAAACGACAGACAGTTTTTTTGACAAGTTTTTTCTGATTTAATTTAAGAACTGTCTGAATGTTTTATATTCTGGAGCGCTTGATAATGGCTAAAGGTATAGCTGAAAGCGCTCGGAAATACAAAACATTCGGACAGTTCTACACACCCTTTGTCCAGAAAAGAAAGCTCTTGTCAGAACACAAGAAAATTAAATAAAAAGCTCAACCGTAGTACCTTGTCTGTCGTTTTAATGAAACATGCATAAAGGAAGGATTGCTGCCTAAATATACAAAATATATATATATATATATATATATATATATATATATATATATATATATATATTTTTTACCAGCCTGAATGTCCGAGAAATTTTCTCAGAATATATTCGTCTTCCGACATTCAGACCGGTAAATGTTGTTTAATACTGTTTATTATAAAACAGAGCATTTACTTAAATATTTGTATCTATAAAAAGAATTTAATAAACATAAAAATGTCTTAAAATAATTGTCGGACTTTGTCCAGTTCATAATGTGTGACGTCATTTGTTTACATTTGATACGCCATGAGAAGATATGAATGTACATGAGAGATTCATGGAAGATTGAAGTTTAAATACAGTAAATTCGACATTGCTAACCGAACGCGCCTCTGTGGCCAAATCGGTAAAGGCACGTCAAGCCAAATGACGGTTTTATATAGGATACAGGTTCGAATCCTGTCGGAGGACGAATATTTTCTGTGAAAATTTCTCGTACATTCAGGCCGGTAAATGTTGTTTAATACTGTTTATTATAAACAGAGCATTTATATATATATATATATATATGAGTTGCAGATCAAACATGGATCGAATTGACTGGATAATAAAATAAAGAACAAATAGTAAACGTATATCAATGTTTCACTTATCTTTAATAAAAATTGAAACGTGTTAGATTTATATTCGTTTCCTATTTGTTCGTTATTTTATCACACACGCGCGTGCGCGCACACACACACACACACATAGCATGTCTGAAAATATAATATAATGTAAATCACATAAATTTCTGTAACAACTCGAATTTGTCTTAGGTTAATTTTTAGGTAGTTTTAAAATGTTTGATTGAAATTATTTTAGTTATTTTAGTTAGTCTAAGAGCCACTGTCTGAAGCTATTATGCAAAACCAGAAAATTACTTTTTACATCATGAAGTAGATAATAAAACCATCTAAAATTGATTAAAAAAAAGCTATAACAGAACCCATAACAAACGCACAGGAGAAGCCATTTTAACCCTAGATACACATAAATAATTATTGTCGTGCATAAATACATAATTCACTTTGAAACTGGGAGGTTGAGTCTCTTACTATTCAAAGAAATTTTTGTCCATGAAACCGCAATAGATAACCCTGTTCAGTTTCACTATTCATTGACTCTAAATAGTCGACAATTCCATCGCATAGTCGTCTCCTTGCTCGTTTCATTTAGCCACAGTTATTGGACAAAACCCATCAATTGGCGTATTCATTAGGTCCATTGAGCGTCAGTCGAGATTCGTCTTTGTAGATTACCGTAGGAAAATTAAATTTCATGTATTTCTTGATACAATTTGATGATTTTTGCTTTACTGAGAGGACGGTGCCATGGAGATTTCACCAGTTTCATGAGTATTCTTCACCTCATGACTCCCTCGATTCCAGCCTGTTCAAATATCTGAGCACTCGTCAGATAAGTTTGATTCGTTATAATTCAATTTATGTGCCTCTCAAGGGGACAAGTTCTTAAAGCATTGTTCTTTAGTTCTAGTTGTCAATTTAGACATGTCTAGTCATATCAAAGCCAACAAAACGTAAAACAACGCTGCAGGCCTCATAAAAAGCGTCTTTGTTAATCTACGGAGTCTTTTAAGGCATTTTAGCAGAAAGGATGTGTCGGAAAGTGCGAAGAGTCAGATTTTCAGTCAAATGATCAAATATTTGCGAGAGACCGATCACTTGAACACCCAGCAAAGAAGTCGAATGTTATGGACAATAGAAAGACAACACAAAGGTTGATTTCATGAATGGAATTTCTAAATTTTCTTCTGTCTATATCTCTGAGATGAGGTATTATGATTACTTGCATTATTTACATTATTCGAACAGTTATCCTCATAATCATTACCATATTCACAACGAGAGTTGAGGTAAAGTGAAATAACTGAGGCATCTGGAAGATGCATGGCACGTAGAACTAGAACAATTTATCCCAGAGGACGAAATTCCAATCACCTGAAGAAGGTCGGAGCGTACAACAGCCAAAACGTTGTGAATATGGCAATGAAGACGATAACAGTCCCAATAATGTAAATAATGTAATTATTTCTGTCAATTTTTCTTTATTTCTTCTTTCCTTATTAAAGTTCATTTTTTATGTTTTTCATATTTCTTTTAATTTCTTTTTTTAAATTTTCTTTCTTCCTTTTCTTATACAAATTTATTTTTCTTTTTTATATTTTTATCAATTATTTTAAATTCTCGTTTTTTCTTTCTTTCATAAAGTTTCTTTATCGTTTTTTAAATTACTTTCTCTTTTTAATTTGAAATTCTTTCTTTCTTTCTTGCTTGCTTGCTTCCTTTCTTTCGTTATTAAAGTTTTCATATGTCCTTCATTCGTTTTAAATTCCTTTTTAAAAATGTTCTTTCGGTTTTAAATTTCTTTCTTCAAATTTCTTTTCTTCGTTTTTTGATTTCTTTCTTTATCTCTTTCATTCGCTTATTTTTCCTTTCAGTCTTTTTTTCAATCTTTCATTTTGAAATTTCTTTCCTTCTTTTTTAAGTCTTCACCTCTCTTTCACGATATTTTGTATTCTGTTATTCCTTTCTTTCTTTCTTTCTTTCTTTTCTTCTTTCTTTCTTTTCTTCTTTCTTTCTTTCTTTCTTTTCTTCTTTTTTCTTTTTTTCTTTCTTTCTTTCTTTCTGTCTTTAAGTCCCTTTTCTTCGTTTTTAAATTTCTTTTATTATCAACTTCATTCGTTCATTTTCTTTCATTCTTTCTTTCATTCTTTCGTTTTCAATTTACTTTAATTCTTTTCTTAAGTCTTCACATCTCCTCTTTCACGATATTTTGTATTTTGGCATTTCTTTATTTCTTTCTTTCTTAAAATTTCTACTTCGTTTTTAAATTCATTTCTTTATCGCTTTCATTCGTTCATTTTTCTCATTTTGAAATTTTCTTCATTCATTTTTAAGTCTTCACATTTCTTTCACGATATTTTGTATTTTGTCATTTCTTTCTTTTTTTCTTAATATTTCTTTCTTCGTTTTTAAATTTATTTATCACTTTCATTCGTACATTTTTTTTCTTTCATTCTTTCATTTTGAAATTTCCTTCATTCTTTTTTAAATCTTCACCTCTTTTTCGCGATATTTTGTCATTTTTTCTTTCGTTCTTTCTTTCTTGAAGTTTCTTTCTTCGTTTTTAAATTTATTTCTTTATCTCTTTCATTCGTTCATTTTTTTTTCTTTCATTTTCTCCTCTCAGTTTCTTTCATTATTTTCTTTCTTTGTACATTGCTTTTGTTTTTTATACTTCATCTCCTACTTTCTACACCGTATCTTCTTTTTATGTTTCTCTCTATCTCTTTCAAGGACAATATCGACTCTCTTTTCTTCTTCACTTAACCAATCACCAAGTCCCTTGCGTTTTATCCATTGATGCCCATTTCACTGCAACGAGTTTTGTTAGCATCGTGTTTCTTCTATACGACTTTACTTGACCAATGGTCGGATCTCATCAATTTGCTGTTGTAGCTGCTCTTCTCGTAAGGTCACCATTACATTGACAGGTCAACTAATTACTTCCGCTCTCTGACAACGTCACCACTTCCAGAATTGACGTCAGACACCTACGAATTTCAAGAATCACAATCTATTTAATATATGCAAAGCTCAGTTTAACTTGCGTTGGTGAGAATGATTCTCAAGGCTTGGTAATAGACTTCTGAGCGACTGAGTATTTCGAACCAGCGCTCAAAGTTAGTGTTTAAGACCAGGAATTCGTGTGATAATGCAGATAAGCCTGTCCCACTGAGAATATTGGGGGGACATTGTCCACTTTTGAGGCTGCATCAAACTACGCTATCGATGAATTTTCCTATCTATCTATCTATCTATCTATCTATCTATCTATCTATCTATCTCCTTGTGACATTATTACATTATTTATCTGTCCATGGTTTTTCCTATCTATCTATCTATCTATCTATCTATCTATCTATCTGTAACCTAAGCAAGGTTACTGAATAGAATAACCACACGAAGGTTGATAATGAACGCGTAGAAGAAGTAGTCAACTGCTAGAAGTAAGTCAAATGAATTCCACAATGAATCTCCAACTTCAGACCGCAGGCCGCATCTACCAACTGCTCACGCAATCATCTATGGCACAAGGCCGAGTTTAATGTGGGGTTCACGAGCCCGTGAGCTCAGTCAAAAATTCCCCGTATAAAACGGGGTCGGGTAGGTGTTTTCCGAGACGAGCCTCTGCCCTTCGGTATAATAGCCCCGTCTGAGGTTCCTCTCTGCGCGGAGGTAGAGAGTTTAACCAACATAACTGAAGACGAATCTCCAACTGCAGACCGCAAACCCACATATACAGTATTTACTACTATATTTATGTGAATAGTGACATACCCATTATCGTCCGTGTGTATGCTACAACACCCCCACCCCTTTTTTGGGGGATTTACTCTGTAGAGAGTCAATATTTTTTTCCTTTCCGTATCCCCTTCTTTTTCTTAAACTCCGTCTCTTTCGGATTTCTATCTCCCGGAACTTTATGAGGGATGAGTACATCGAAAGTACCAAAAAGAACCTCCATAGGTTCAACCTCAACTAGAATAGTGTGTTCTCTTCAGTTGAATACCTACACCATCCTGCCAATGATTCGGACGACACCTCTGATTTCACAATATGTTTTCTTTTACTGGCACATACAGAAAAAAAAAAAACATTTTGGCCAATTTTATAAATTTTTTTTCAGGCCTTTTTTATCGCATGATCATTTGTTTTTTTTTTTTATTGGGCATAAGTTTTGAGAGCCCTTATCCACAAAACGCTCTGCCCGACCGTTACTTCTAGGATAATAATGGGCAATTGTTATGTGTTCTACCACAAACATTTGGCAAAATTCCTTAAATTCTTTCAATATAAATTGAGTGTCGTTTTACGACACAATCGAAACTGCTACTCCGAACCTCGCGAACAGTTCGTGTAGAAACTGAATAACTATTTGCCTGGTTGGTTTGTCACATCTGAATATCTCTACCCATTTTGAAAAACCGTCTACGACAATCAGATAATACGTTCCATGAAGTTGACCAGCAAAGTCAACATACAAACGTGACCATGGGCAGTCACTTTCTAGTCATGGGTTGAAAATTGGTTGTGCGTTAGCCGCCGAAGTACAACCTTTACATGTTTTCACCAGACATTCAATGACTCTATCCTTGCTACGCCAATATACGTAACTTCTCATCAAGCTTTTCATTCTGGATACACCAGGATGTCCTGCATGAAATTCTTTCAGGATTCTCTTTTGTAGTGCCAAAGTTACCACTACTCTTTCGCTGTACATGAGAACATCATCGCACATTGAGTATACTCCCGAATCTGCTTTAGTCCTGTCTGAGTTTTTTCTTCATTTCAGTAATAAATTTATCCTCCAACGCTTTACTTTTTATATCTTCCAACGTCACAGGTAATTCCCGCACAGTACTGCATAGTAGGTTTTTTTTTTATTTCTACTTCCGATTATAGAGAAGCAATGACCGTGTTTTCTAAACGTTCATTATTCCTTGGAATAAGTCTGGACAACCCGTCCGCATGATTTACTTTACACAATGGTAAGAATTCCATTTTAAAGTCGTAATTTAGTAAAATAGTTCCCCATCGTTGTAACCTATTAACTGTATAAGTCGGTAATCCTTTTTGGGACCCATAAATATCTATCAACGGTTTGTGATCCGTTTGTAGAGTAAACCTTCTCCCGTGAATGAATCTATGAAATTATTTCAGAGCAAAGACAATCCATAAACTTTCCTTTTCAATCACGGAGTAATTTTACACAGTTGGAAGAAACATCCTGGATGCGTGTGCAATCGGTTTAATCGAACCGTCTTCTAGTTTATGCATAATGTAGACTCCTATATCGTAAGCACTACCCTCACTTGCTACGTTTTTTTTTTTTTTTGGATTGTAGTGTCTCAAGAATAAATGTGACGTTAATATTTTTTTTAATTTTCTCAAATGCTTCCTGGCATTCCGTCGTCCAAGACCATTTAGCGTCTCTCTTCAAAAGCTCATTCGACGGAACATTCAAACAATGCATATTTAATACAAATACATTATAGTAAATTGCTACCCCAGGAAACTTTGTAGGGTACTAACATTTACAGGCGTAGGCATGTCCTTTACAGCACTGGTACGTACTGGATCTGGTCTCCTGTCCTTCTTGCCAATTATCTGAGCTAAATATTTGATTTTATCCATAAAGAATTCACACTTTTTCGCCTTTCAGTTTGACTCCATAGTTCTGAATCCTTCTGAAAACTTTGAAAATATCTTCCTTGTTCTTTAGGGTTTTCACTTTTCAGCAAAATATCGTCAAGATACTCTAGTACAAAGTCCAGTTCACTCAGCATTGTTTCCATTACTTGCTGAAAAATCACTGCAGCGACCTTTATGCCGAAAGGTAAAAGATTAAATTTGTACATCCCATGTATTTATGGTCAGTAATCTTGAACACTCGTCGTCTACCGGAATCTGAAGATACGCGTCCCATAGGTCGATTTTGGAAAATATCCGACCCCCACTAAGCTGCGCAAAAAACCTTTTCCGGCCCCGGAAGTGGGTAATGATAACTTTTGAGGGCATCGTTTAAGCCCGTGGAAAAATCAGCGCAGACACGTATCTCTTTCGACTATTTGTTTATATAAATGGTTGGTAAAGCCCAATCGCTATATTCCACCTTCGATAAAACACCCATTTTTTCCAGTCTATCAAGCTCGTCATCAATTTGTTTTAGCGAAGCAAATGTTAGATTTCTTTGCTTTTTGAAAACTGGTTGTATGTTTTCTTTTAGCTCGAATTTAGCTTTCATTTTCTTGCGCCTACCTAACCCACCAGAAAATCCGTCAGGGAATTTTATTTTTTAAATCTTCTTTTAGACTTTCTGCTTCGTTAGTAAAACCTTTCACTTTTTGGTAAAACGAATTGATCGGACTGTTCCATAAATTGAACTGTTCCATCCAATCTATTCCAGACAGGTTACTCGTATTTTTCATGACAAACAGTCTTAGCTTCAAGGTTTTACCTTTTAACGTTACATTCGTCATAAATTAGCCTTCGAATTTTATTTCTGTCCTGTAACGTTCCGAGGGATTATTTTGGTAACCATTAACGTTGGTTTATTCAATTTTCCGCTGAAACGCCTCACACATATTGTCAGTCGACCTCAGAGTACGCCGCTCTGGGGTTTTGACCTCTCGGATGTAACGACCAGACCTTCGACGGATCTCTTCCTTGCGCAATTTTGCGCCCATGTTCACAGCTTCGGAAGACATCTTACTTAACCTATGTATAATTACCTGACCCATGTAGCATTTGCTAGCCGAACGCTCCAGGCCTCTCTAGCTAGGGCTATCTCTAGAGGATCCGCCTAGCCTCACCGGGGAAAGGCTATCCTTAAGAGCTTTCACCTTGTTAGCCTTATCTAGCGTTTGCTAAACTCGGTGGCGAAGGACCTAATCATATCCTTAATCCTCTCTCACCACCTATTCCCAATAACCGCCCCCACTAGTTCCCGCTACATTACGGTAATTAGCTGTTCTTGGAAGTCCCCCGCCTGTCCAATGAGGACTGATTGAACTTCCAGTAACCAGCCATTCTCGGCTTGCGATTTAACACCACTCGGGAACAAACGAGTATGTGGTCCAATCTATGTCGGCCCTTCCCACTAACATTCTATCCGCGTAGCTAACCACCCGGATAGATGGCCACTTATTATCGTTCCTGCATCTATCGAAGAGACCAAACTGGCCGGTGAGATCAACCAAGCTACGATCACCCGACCTCCCGCTAGTTCCCCGCCTCCTGTCTATTTTGGGGTTCAGGACGGCATCCAGTCCCCCATTAAGACCAAGCGCGTTAAATCCACCAGGAACGGTCCCAACTGCCGATAAAACGATATACGCTTCTCCCGTTTGTTGGTCACTTAAACCGCAACGATCCGAAACGATCTACTTTTCAAAGCAATATCGGCCACGATCAACCGGCCCCCGGGATCGGCATGAACAAGGTCTACCCCCGCATCCAGAGTACGCTTCACTAGCAAAGAAATACCTCTGGCCAGTCGGTTCCCAAATGCTGAATAAACGACAAAGTCGTTAGACAGCACAAAGGCATCAACGTTGCAAACAAAGTGTGTTTCCTGGATCGCGGCGACATCCACACTGAACGACAAGAGGTCAGGGAGAAGGTTGGCAGACAGACTCACCCTGTCCCTCAAGACGACAGACGGTATCTACTAACTCCCCCACATAGTCAGAGGCCAAATTTTATGTGAGGTTCCCGAGCCAATAGACTCGACCAAAAATTCCTCGTAAACCCCATATAAAACGGGGTCGGATAGGTGTTTCCAAAGACGAGCCTCTGCCCTTCGGAATAACCCTGTCTGGAGATCCTCTCTGCCCAGAAGCAGAGAACTTAACCAGCCCAGCTGAAGGCATATCTCCAACTGCAGACCCACAGACAATATCTACCAACCGCCCACGCGGTCAGATGTGGCACAAGTCCGAATTTAATGTGGGGTAACCCGAGCTCGTAGGTTCAGCCAAAAATTCCTCGTAGACCCCTTATAAAACGGTGTCGGGTAGGTGTTTCCCGAGACGAGACTCTGCCCGTCTGGGGATGCTCTCTACCCGAAAGTAGAGAGTTTGACCAGCGCAGCTGAAGCCGAATCTCCAACTGCAGACCGGCCGACCATATTTACTTGAACTGAGTCAGGTTGTGACACAAGTTCGGTTTTTAAAGTGGAGACCCTAGTGTCTTCATTCGGGCCGCTGGTCTTAGCTGGTCATAGCAGGTCCAAGCTGGTCAGAGCAAGTCTAATCTAGCCATTAGTCTTGGCTGGTCATAGCTGGTCTAAGCTGGTCAGAGTCAGTCTAAGCTAGTCATAGCTGTGATGCTACCAGCGCAGAGACGGATCCCTGCCCCCGGTAAGTATCAATGTGTTATAAACAACTCGAGAGAGCAGCTTATGCAGACCGGCCGACCCACACATACAGTATTCCCTACTGTATTTATAGGAATGGGCGTATACTCATTATAATCCGTAGGTATGTTACAACACTATCTATCTATCTATCTATCTTACTGTGTGTCTTAAAATATCTATATCTATCTATCTATCTATCTATCTATCTATCTAATACAATCTGTCCCTATCTCTCTATCCCATTGTGGCATTATTACATTTATGAATAAAAATGACAATAGGAAAACTGGTAATTGCTGACGCGTTTCATCCAATGTGGACTTTATTACATTGCTTATCTATCTATCTATCAATCTATCTATCTATCTATCTATTTTTATTTTTTATTTTTTTTTCCTTGACTCTTTCTTCGTTTCATTTGTTACGGTTTTATCTCGTTTCTTCTTTTAACGTTATTTTAACGTTTCATATGTCTTTTCGTATTTTTTTTCTCTCGTTGCCCCTTCTCTTTCTTTCTCTCTATCTCCTCATTCATATGTTTTTAATTTATTTTCATTTGTCTTTCGTGGCATCTTTTTTTATCAATTATTTTTCCTCCTGTCTCTCTAACCCACTTATTTCTTCTCTTTGCTTCATTTCTTTTATTTACCTTCATTAATTCCTTTCTCCTCTTCTTCCATCCAATTTGCGACATTTTTCCTTATCTGTCTCATTTCGTATTCTGTCCAAATCTTTTGTCATTTTGAATGGCTACTTTGCTTCTTTTTTTCCTTTCTAACTTTATTTCTTCTTTTTCTTTCTTAACAAAGTGTACGTGCCATAATGCGGACAACCATAACAAGAAAAATGGCAACGTCAGGCTGCCAGGGATAATCGAATTTGCTTTGATGTTTGCAGACGTGCATAAAAGACAAATGGTCAACATATGGCGCAAAAGGAACAAAATCAAGAACGAGGCTAACGAAATCGCGGCCAATTACAATAGATTAACTGACCCGGGCAAATGGTAATTCTTCAAGTAAAAGATGTTACAGTTTAAAATGAGAGCGTGTGAGGTGAAAGCGTGAACCCCAAAGGTGAAATTTAGAGAGAGAGAGAGAGAGAGAGAGAGAGAGAGAGAGAGAGAGAGAGAAGTTGGAATAGATAGAGAATAGTAGAGATGAATAGTGAGTCAGAGAGAAAGATATAATGGGGATATATATATATATATATATATATATATTAAGAAATGGACAAGGTCCGACAATTTATTTATTAAAGACATTTTTTTTTTTTATATGTTTAACGTTGTTATTTATAGATAAAAGTATTTAAGCAAATGCTCTGTTTATAATAAACAGTATTAAAAATAACATTATATTAATTATATATATATATAATATATAAATAAATTTAAGAACTGTTTAGATATAAACAGAGCATTAGATATTTTAAAAAATTGTATCTATAAATAACAACATTAAATTATAAAAAAATGATTTAATTAATTTATATATATATATATATATATATATATATATATATATATATATATATTAGGACATTTTTATGTTCATACGTTCTTTTTATAGATACAAATATTTAAGTAAATGCACTGCTTATAATAAACAGTATTAACGACAGTTACCGACCTGAATGTCCGAGAAATTTTCATATAAAATATGCGTCCTCCGACAGAGCATTTACTGGTTAGCAAAATCCTAACTACTGTTAATAAACAACAAATCTTCGACGATCTTTCACGAACGATCATATCTACTCCCGAAACATACCTTAACGTAAACATTGATAACGCATTATGAAATGGATTAATTCCGACAATTATTTAACATATTTTCTGTTTATAAGTTATTTTTATAGATACAGTTTATTTAACTTAAGTTAATGCTGTGTTTTTCAAACAAACAGTATTAATTACATTTACCGGCCTGAATGTTCGAGAAATTTCATAGAAAATATGTGTTTCTATAATACTAACCGTAACTCAGGCCGTTAAATGTAATTAATACTGTTTATTTTCTCAAATAAATTGTATCTATTAAAATAACATATAAACAGAATACATACATACATATATACATCAAACGCTTCAAGCAGAAGAGTATGATACTCGCGTGGAAATGTGAGAATCACTCTTCTCTCATTGTCAAAATAACCCCTAACCCTTGGGAAACTTGATTCAGCAACGAGTCTATCTTTTATCTCTTTGGTCGGGTAAACAACTGTCGAATTTAGGGGAAAATCGAACCCAACAGAAATTGTCAAACATGAAGGAGACTCTCTGAAGCCAATGGCTTGGTGGACAATGTCTAGCACTGGGGGTGATTGAACCCTTTTTCTTCCGCGATGCTTCCGGTAAAACAACTACGGTAAAAGTGGAAAATTACCTGAAAATACAGCAGGAGTTTTCTGTGCTATTCAGGTGAGAAGTGATGTTTTTTTCATTAAGAAGGAACCGCTTCCCACTTTGCAAAGTTAGTGAGGGATTTCCTGAACGTCAAGTTTCCTATCCGATGAATCAGTCGAAAGGGTCTTCTCGCTTCCGTGACCTCATACCTTTTGACATTTTTTCTGTCGGGCTATATCAAAAGCATGCAACTAAATCCCGTGTGACAACTTGAGTAAAGAACCCGCGCGGACTGCACCAAGGTCGGGAAAGAGATGCTGCAAAACATCGGAGAGGCCTGCGTCCGAAGCTGACTGAATGTTGTCGGAAATGGAGGCGCTCATGGGAAGATATTGTTGTGACGAAGTAAATGGTTAAGAAATAACAAAACAAGAGGTTGCACATGAATCGTATATTGAACAGTAAATACAACAGAAGTGTGTTACACGACTTGGGAGTATGTGTCGGTTGACCAGTGTTCAGTCTATATCACTATTATATTTAGTAGCCCCCTCCCCTACAAGGGTAATTGTGGCACAAGGTCGAGTTTAACGTGGGTCATCCGCGCCCGTAAGCTCGGCCAAAAAAATCCCCGTAGAACCCACATAAACACGTTCGGATCTGTCTACCTCCCCGGACGAGTTCTGCACTGCCTCGTCCGGGTTCCACTCTTCCCAAAGCAGAGAGAATCGACAGGAACTGCGAACAGTCACAGCTTCAGTAGAACAGTCTGTATCACTGTTATATTTAACGCACCACCCACCCACCCACGTAGGTTGTATGTGGCACAAGGCCGAGTTTATCGTGGGTTCTCCGAGTCCGTAGGCTCGGCGAAAAATATTCTCTTTGAACCCATATAAACGGGTTCAGGGCCTGTCTACCAGCCCGGACGAAACTTTGCCCTTTGGCATAACTTCGTCCGGGTTCCTCTCCGCCTAGGTGGAGAGTTCGACAGTAATGAACGGTCTATATCACTGTTATATTTAACGCCCCCCTCCACATGTGGGTCGTACGTGGCACAAGGCCGGTTTATTGTGTGTTCTCTGAGCCCGTAGGCTCGACCAAAAATATTCCCTTCGAACCCGGGTTCAGGGCCTGTCTATCTCCCCGGACGAAACCTTGCCCTTCGGCAAAGCTTCGTCCGGGTTCCTCCCTGTCGAGGTGGAGAGTTTGACTGTAATGAACGGTCTATATCAGCGTTCCACCAAGTATGTATAGTGACTTTTTCGACACCTGTATAATATATATATATATATATATATATATATATATATATATATATATATATATATTATAATAAATATAGAGTTTGTTTCGCATTATTTGGTGACACTCTGGCAATCATCAGACGCGGATTGAAGACTGATATATATAATCTGGACATATGTCTGTTTATTTTTATTTTAATCCTCTCAAATTCTCGGATTAACTTCTTAATGTTGATATTAAATTCATTTAGATAGGCACCGTAGATCTTTCATTTCTTTTACTTTCTCAAGAAGTTTCAGTCTCATCCAAGATCATCTTCAGGAGTGAATTGCCAAAACAAAATATTAATGTAATTATAGTTGTGATTTTTTTGTAAGTGCGAATGAAAGGTGTTCTCTTATAATCATAACCACGTATAAACTCTTTCTGTTATAATTAATTTAAAAATTAACTGTTAAAGCTATTATATAGCATTAATATTTTTACAAAAAATTTCTAATAAAAAAATTATAAAGTAATTTCATTCATCCATGAATAAGTCCTGAAAATTTAATTAAAATCCGATGATTATTTGATTTTTGCAAGAATTTTAAAATTAATGTGTCTGCCACCACAAAAAAAAAAAAAAGAAAAAAAAAAGAGGCCAAAATTTGCTTTGCTAACAGTTAGTACAACCGCTGATGCAGGGAAAAAAACAAATTATTTAATAAAAATTTTCAATGTTCTAATAAAGGAGTAAAAAAAATAATTAAATAATCAAAAAATATTTCGATCCTTACTCTTAGTAATAACATAAGGATTTTGACAATAAAACTATGTTTTCATTACGTTTTGAAGCATGTTTTCATCACGTTATGTTGATTCTTTAGCGATCTCGTAGAGGTACCTAATGTTAAGGGAGTTCAAGCGAGGGAATAATGCTACGGAAACATTTCGAAAACTATGTATTATTTATGTTCAAGGGCTTACAACTGACCTGCAAGTACGAAATGGGTTTACAAAATATTGTTCAAGCGAAACATCGTTGGCAGATGAATCCAGACCAAAGTTTTCATTGAACTTTGATGATGAATCTCTAAAGTGATTAGTGAAAATAATTCCGTAGCAAAGTACTCAAGAATTATCACAATACCGTATTCCGACAGTTGGAAAAATTTAGTGGTAAGGGATGTAAATAAACTTTTGGTAGTAAATAAATGACGAGTTACTTCCCTTTGTTATTTTAATAACCTATACCAGTGGTTCTCCATATTATTTTTACACATAGACCACTTTTACTCTTAATATTTTATAGACCGCCATACACATTCGATGAAAAATAAGCTTATTTTATTTTTACTAATAGATAATTTTAGGAATTACATTATAGTAATATTAAATGTATATGCTTTATTTTAAAGTAAAAAAAAAATTAATGAAAATAAACTTGTATTCAACAACTAAATTCTACGGAAAATTATGTACATTAGCAAAATAATAAAAAAATTATAAAGTAATTTCATTCATCCGTGAATAAGTCCTGAAAATTTTATTAAAATCCGATAATTATTTGATTTTTGCAAGAATTTTAAAATTAATGTCTGCCACCGCAAAAAAACTGAAACTTGTTTTCCGATGGCTTTAGAATCGTTTTTCTATTTTTAGTATTTTTATATATTTAGTATTTTATTTAGT